AGAAATCCTTCCAATGTGTACTATAGGTCAGTACAAAAATAAAAAACACAGTTTGAAAGGGGAGTGATTAGTCAAATATGCATAAATAAAAAGAAAGAATGCAGACTAGGTAAAATAAAGATATAGAGAGGAGTTTATCAATGATGTGTTATTGCTTGTGAGCATATTATAATGGTTTTTTGATTATTGAAATATATACAGTTCTGTTTCATTTGATTGTTGAGAGCTGTATCCATACATCTCTTCATGTGGCCCTCAAAGTGCACCAGATTGATGCTTTAGCTTCAATTTAAAGACAAAAATCTTCCCGGGGGTGCATGCCCCCGGACCCCCCCAACAGGAGGTAAGGTCATCTCAAATCAAACAGGTTTACATGGATAGGATACTAGATAAGTGTGCACCACTCATTATATACACTACACATTTTTCTTGGATTTGTTTAACACTATAGTCCTTAATATATTTGTAGAAAGGCAGGAAATTGAGAAAATGTTTCATTGCGGAGGACCCCCTGTTTTGTGTCCCCCCCACTTCTCAAACCAAAGTTACACCCTTGGTTACAGATGCCATTATTTCAAGCCATCTGGGAAAAAAAAACTGAAGCAAGACTTTAACCTCTTAAGGACGAAGGTCCCCCCCAGTTGGACACCCCCCCCAACCGTTTTTTTTCGAGACTGTGTCTCAGGGCTTCTTAACATTAATGAAACCATTAATGTTGTAGCACCAGAATAACGGGAAGAATCTCCAGCTAACTGAAGATATGAACCATTTTTACCAAACAAGGGTAATACTAAGCAGAAAAAATGCTAACTCACTTAGCACAGAACTCAAGATAAAGATACCCTTATTACTTATCGTAACTGCACATACAATATCCGATTAAAGCTGAGACTCCACAGATTATATAGGTATAGTATCATCACTGAGCGATCCGAACTTGCGACAGCGGAAGCAAACACAGACATCACAAAACGTACCTTTACGGGAGATCGTCTCACCGTAGCTGTCTATCTGATCAAAGGACGTGTTCAATGGCATTAAAACGAGAAAAAAAGCGGCTGAATCGGTTGATCCATAGGTTTAATAATGTATCTGTAGCTTGAAAAATGTTTTATAATCCATAATTCCATTTTTATGTAAAAAATCGGAGAAAAAAAGTTAGCTGCTAATGGTAGCCAACAGAGTGTATGCAGCTTCCGGTTTTGGCCACGCATCACTCTCACTCCTTATTTGTTAATGTGTTGGTGTGTGTAGAACTTTCCCTCAATTCCATTGGCTCTAGCGGTTATAAAGAGATTTCATTCATCAAAATCGACCAAGGGGGGCCAGAGATATGGAAAATCCACCCAAATGACCCCAGAAGTGGGTTTCTTTTGCTAAATCTCTCTAAAAAGGTCAAATTGCACTTGTTTTGCATCAATCTTGATACAGGGTACTTATTATATGTTGTACTGGATTCCTAAAGCTTTTAGTCTACTAACCCATCATCCAAGGGTAGTTTTCACTATAAGTACAAAATAATTTTTGGACGGACACTATAATTTACAGTTTTTTTAATATGTTCAATCGGAATTTTCTTTAAAATAAAAAACATCTACAGTATATTGATTCTGACTTTTCTACATCCAACTCACAGGTTTATCATTACTTTGAGAACAAAGATTATTAATTTAACCAATTTAGAAGGGAAGATATGGTCATTTGTTCTGGGAATGTCATTTTCAAGCCTGAGACCTGAAAAACAGGCTCAGGGTGGAACAGGTTAAAATATTGGCTCAATGTAATGGTAGCCATGACATCACACATTTGTTTTTAGACTAAAAGGCCATGTGGAAGATGAAACTTCCTGGGATGTTTTTTGGTCCCTGCAACAAAGTGCCTGTTGGGACTCAAAGCCAGAAACCAGTGAAGCTGTAAATGTGTAAGTTTTTGTTTCACTTTACAGTGGACTGGAACTGAATCGTACTCGTATACCACATTAAAACCTACATGCACAAAATAAACTGAATGATGTTGAATAAAATGGGGCTGCATTTTAAATTGCTCTCCATTAACTGTAGTATATAATATTTCAACATTGATTGATGCATAAGGAAGGAAGCATCAGTGTAACTACTAGATGTAAACCCACATGTCAGGTGTGGGCCAATCACATGCAGGTATTTCGGTGTGACTGCAGCTTTAATTCTCATCAGTTAATGAGTAATTGCTTCCAGCTGTCCTCTCCATGTGATTAGTCTGCACTGGGAAGTATTTGACATTGAGAGTTTGAACCTTCTGCATCTTATTTAAATTCAGTATGGTTTAGATTTCCTAAATTATCACTTGTTCTACTGGTAGTGTTGTGTTTGCTTAGGCTCTGTGGCACTGCTGTCACTTTTTGCTTTTGGTTTTGCAGACGCCATTCGAACTTTGAGAGATGGACCAATGATCGATGCTGAAGGAAGGGAATATAAAACTGCTGCATTAGGGTTTGACACAGAAAATCAAATCAGTGAACCACCAATTCATGAGGGATCCACTATCAGTGTACAATGCACAGAAGTGTCCATAATCATTGCGGTAAAGGCTGACCTCTTTAAAAATGGACGCCTTTTGTCTCCATGGGATATTTTTTTGGGAGAAGTCAAGCATTCACAGAGCAGTCAGTGTCGACCTGTTGCTGCTGGTGACTCTGAATATGTATTTGAAGCTGGACTACAAGACTGTGGCTCCAAAGTGACTGGAAGTTGTTGATGATTAATAGAAGATGGTGGATATGTAACTGTGGTTGCAGGTTGGGTAGGTAATTTTGGAGGAAACCAGCTCGAGTGCGCTAGAATTTGGAAAATACACAGCCGGAAAAAAATCTGCCACTTCCTTACAGAGCCCCTCCTCCAACACACACGAACGCGCACATGACCAATGAGGGCACGAGATAAGTTTGTGCACAGATGGAAGGCTGACAGGGCAGGTAGGCCATCCAGTTATTTTAGCTGGGCCGGCTAAAATGATTGGTCGTAGCTTTTTACAGCACCACGGCTTCCACAGATTACATTTTTTTTATGGATTTTTTGTCAAAGCACTTAAGATATTCATTGCTATCGGGATGTTAAGAGCATTCCATGGAATATAACAAAAAGTGTATCTCGAGCCGGTTTCTAAAACGTACCTACCCCAGCTTTAAAGGTAGGGTATGTAAGTTTGAGAAACAGGCTCGAGATACACTTTTTGTTATATTCCATGGAATGCTCTTAACATCCCGATAGCAATGAATATCTTAAAGGAGAGGTGTCATGCTTTTCCGGTTATTACCCGTCCCCTTGTGTGTTATGAAGGTTTTTATGCATGTAAACGGTGTGCAGAGTCAAAACCCTCAAAGTACACCCTGTAGCGAGTAAAACTCTAACACAGAAAATACCTCTCCAAAACGCCTCGTTGGAGATACGTCATTGTCCATTTGATTCTTCCGGGTACGACATGATGTCATGCGGTACCCGGAACAAAATGGACCAATCCGGAAGAGCTATGGCCACACCCAGCGGCGCTGGCCGCACCCTCTGCCAGCCTAACATTTACTGTTGGAAGCTCTGGTTCAGTTCACAATCGATCCAGTCATGCCAATGCCAAGGACCTGTTTCCTGAAATGTGAGGGGAAATCTGAGCTGTTTGTCCTACCGACGGAAGAACTACGACGAAGTCAGTGGTTGAAATTTCTGTTTAACACTGTTCCTTCAGAGGTTCGAAGAACGTTACTGTGTGCGCGGCATTTCACAGATGAAAGCTTCCAAAACATTGCCCAGTTTGAGGCCGGATATGCACAGCATTTGAAACTGAAGGACGATGCTATTCCCAGTTTGTTTGGACCGTTTGGAGCAGGGGAAGATTCGGGTACACAACCTGTAAGTTTGCATTGTTATTTGTGTATTTATCAAACAAGGTATCTACCACGACTGTTTAAATGTGTAAACGTGTTTCGGACTGCTAAGCCATTGACACAGTGCTAACTAAGTTGCTAGCGTTTCCATATATCAACTCCAATATCAGCAGATGGCCTTGCATACATGTATCTCATAGCAGGAGAATGTCTGCATTCTCACACGAAATACTCATAGACAGTATACTCCGGGTGATTTACCGTACGGTCAGGTCGCGAAAACGTAATTACATTATAGCTGGCGTTCCTAGCGTGTATGCTACCGAGCTAAACAACGGAGCTAGACATGAGTTTGCTCGGGAAAACATTGTTGTTATGCCAGCTACAATGAATGTAGCAGACTACCCGTATAAGATTGCAATTGTAAACATGTTCTTGATAGCCTAATATGAACCACTATCTGTTGTTCATAGTATAGTATAGTATAGTATAGTATAGTATAGTAGCCTATAGCATATTACACTGAACAACTAGCAAACGTAGGTTAGCATATTAGCTGGCAAGCTAACTGTGTTGATTAGATAGATAGATACACACTCCTACCACAACTACTACTAACGAATCTAAAACAACTAAGTTTCTCTAATATTTTGTGATTTGCATTTGATATCGTCCAGCCAGATCAGGAAACTCCAGGCGTATCTGGCGGACAACACACACACGGGATGACCCACTCTGATGCCTCGTCCTAAAAAGCCCCGGCAGCCGCTTACAAAGCTGCGATAGGCAAGATGCCGAAAACACCTATAAGGGGAGGAATGGATGATATACAGTGTATATATGTATATTTACGCATGTTCATTTTGTACATTTCTAAAAATAAAGTTTGATGGAAATACTTAGTAGACCTATCCTTTCTTCCCTGAATTATTTGCTCCTATAACTTATCATTCATATATAGCAAACCATGATTTGATTTCTCATCAAACAGTAGTAGTTTATTACAGGTAAAAATAACTTACTCTTCTATAACAACAGTTGTAGGTACAGTTCGGTTAGTTAGTGTATAAAATATACGGCTGTACCGAGGCCATTATAAGACTGTTGTTCCGCTGAGAGCGAGCCGAAAAAAGCGCTGTTAGACATGGGTGGAGCCTCTCTGGTGGTTGACTAATCAGAACAGAGTGGCCGAGCTGACCAATCGGAGCACACTAGGCTCACAGGGAGGGGGGGGGCAAGAGACAGACATAGACGCCTGTTTATCGACGGCTGTGTCGCCGCTCTGTCTCCTGACCCGAGATCAGCCCCCAGATACTACTTTATCGAAAACCATGGGTAAGAGAAGCTCAGAATACAGTATGATACTGATAATTGGCTCTTAAATTGCATTCAAATTTTAATTTTCTTTTCGTCAGGTGCTTCAATGATGCCAAAGAGGAAGGATCAAATGCACTTTTCAATCCCAGAACAAGATCTTCTTCTCTTCAGCTGCAGCTCGATGCCTTCCTGTTTCCCCAGGACACAAGGAACTCAGTGAGCCACTTCTATAACCTGAATGATTTTGTCATATTTGGAAATGCTTCGAGGTTGTATAATGACATTTCTTTGGTCTCTCTTAAACAGCGTCCAGTAGTTTTTGGAGTCTCTTGTTCTCCTCTTTGGAAAGAGACAGCTCCTCCTCGTACTCTGCTATCGTTTTTTCAAACAAAGCAAATATATCTTCAGCAGCAGCAGTGAGTCGCTGCTTCTTCAACGACAGCAGCATTTGGATTTATTAGATTTTTATCACTTGCCAGCTGAAAGCGACCTCTGAAATGCGGAAGAGCAGCCCCGTCAACAAGGCCTGCAATTATATAAATTCAAGGTGCTTTTATTACTTATTTTGTGAATTGTTGCTCCTTACTTTAATATTGCAAAAGGTTTGTCAGTGTATCATTTACAAAGGCTCATCAGGTTAACAATTCTTTATAAGCTAAAACTGGTTCAAATGTTTGCTATTAATATTTCTTGCTGCTTAAGTAATCAAGTTACTTAATTAAGGAAACATGTAAATATAAGGATAAATACTTTCTAAATGAATGTTCCATGCTGTCTCTGTACAGCCAGATCAATGTAACAGCGATGCTTACCTCAGCATTTGAACTGAAACAGTACACATGTGAGAGGAATGTGCTAAATGTAAGCTTTAAGAATATTTTAGAATGTTGACGCTGCCCATGGAGTATATGTATACAAATAAATGGCTATTATTTCAACATTGGATTTGGGTGTAAATGCCCTCAACTCAAAGCTAAAGGAAAACAATGATTGTTTCTGTATACTAATCATCAGATGGATAAATGTCGATGGCAGTGATGATGTGTGTCGATGTTGCGACGATACATGCTCCAGCAACTCTCCCACCGGTCAAACAAACCTCGGAAGTCTGATCCCTGAAGGTAAACTGTAAATCCTACAGTTGTATAACTTTCATAATCTGTGATCTGTCTGTGAAAACTGTCCCAACTAAATATGATTTGTCTCTCTCTTTCATTTTTATTCATGTTTCAGATTTGGTGGCACGTGAAACTGTTACTCTGGGCCCTTTGATGGTTTTGCCATACAAATAGGCGAAGCATAACAATCCAGACAATAAAGGATTAAATATTTGTCTATCAATCTCACCCTCCCTGACCAAACTTCAGCGTAATACTTATAGCTTAATACTAGCAAAACGATTATTTTAATGATTGTTTAGTAAGGAATGTTTATACAACATAAACATTAAAGAAACAATGATGTTTAGTCTTTACTGTTAATACCTAACATGGCTCTAAACAAAGCCACACAACTGGTCTGATGAAACATCCCCGTAAATAAAAACAGATTACACTGTATGAACATTAAATGTTGCTGTCAGGATAGACACGTATCAGTGTTTGAAAGAGGAAAATAAAATGTGAATTTCTCTTACCTTCAAAAAGCTGAATGAAAATAAGAATGCATGCCAAGCTCGTCTTCATGGCCTTTTCACTTATGAACTCACTAATAAATACTAAAGCTGACTCACATTGTACTCTTTCCTTCAGTCTTTGTGAGGTTTTGTGGACAGCCTCACTTTATTTATTGTTCTTCACCTCTGAGCAGGAAGGGGAAATCAAAGCAAGAACAGCCGTTGAAACGCTGCAGTTGGTTTTGCACACACTGATGTTTAACTGAATTTGAAATAAAACTCAGGATGTTATGCATCAGACTAAAACAATATAAACATTGCTCCCCATGAAGTACTTTATATATAACACTTTTTTATAGTATCCTAGTAAGTCTTCTTATAGCGATCCTGTTATTGATATTATCAAGTGAGAAAAGAAGATATATCACTTTCATGATGTATCACCGGATATGTCTGGTGTCTGCAAGATGAGTGTGAAAGTGCAGGTCAGGAGGAGAGTCATCAGCAGCAAAGGTGTGGATATATTAGTTATTGTCCTGTAAGCATGTACGCCGGCACAGTCCGATTCAGAAGCTCTCATAAATAATAAATATATATTTTTATTTTTAAAAAAGTGCTATTCACATACAAGACAATACAATGTGTCCAAATATAAAGGAGATAATAATAGGAAAGAGTGAAAGGGTCAATAACCCTTGATAAGAATGGGTTCGCCCGATATGTCAGTGGTTAGAGCCGGCAGCCCATATGCAGTCACCGCTGCCTAGTAAACCAGTTTGAATCCTGAACCAGCCGAACATTTCTGGCATGTCCTCCCCTCTGTCTCCCCCTTTCAACTCTAACATCTCCAATAACGGCCCTCTGGCCCAAAAAAAACTAAAAAGTATGAACGGAAAAACAAAATGGATCAATCTAAAATAACATAAAATATTTAGGCAACAGTACAGGGTGAACCTCTGAAATGGATAATTAAGAATATAGTTTTGAACTTTATATGTTGTAAGTCATTTTAAATTAATTGGGATGATTTTAAGTATTTGGAGGTTTTTTCAATATTTTCTTTGTTTGAACTGCATGGATTGATTTTTACATGACATGTCTTATGTTTCAAAAATATAGATCAAATTGTATTTATGTAGCTCAAAATCACAAGTTTTACATTTTTATTTGATTTGATTTGATTTAGTCTGTACCAGTGACGTGCGGTGAGGTTCATGGCTGGTGAGGCACTGACTCACTGAGTCAGATTTACAAATATTATATTTTGACCTTAATCGAAATATTCTGTTATTTTCAAAAGCTTTTTTAGTCTGATGCTTCGATTCATTTTAAACAGACCGTTCAACAAAAGGATACCCAAAATCTAAATATTGGATTGTTCTTTCTTAGTAAGATCCCATTTTCATTACAAATGTGGTCTTACCTTGACTTGAAGATGAAGTCCATGCTATCCTTCTGGACAACAATCTCTATTACTTTTTTGTAAAAGTCCTCCTTATCTTCCTGTAGTTTCAAAAGTCTAGTTTGTTGTTACGTCTACCGTCTCTGCGTAGAATTACAGTAGCAACAAGAACCTGTGGGCTCACGTGCGCCCCCTTCAGTGCGGCAGAGGTTATGGCTGCCTCCCCTGGTGCATTTTCATTGCCGTTGAGACCAGCGAGCCTAAATATCATATATACGTGAAATAAGTTATTTAGAGACTATGGATGGCGAGGATAAATGTAATAAAGGGATCTACATATATTACATTGGTGACCTACAGTGAGATGGTAACAGGCATGTGCTTAGGGCCCGCTTTCCAGCCAGTTTCTGTGGGGTGACGCATTCTGAGGTGAGGCAGATCTCATCTGTGCCTCACCTCACCCCACAGTAACTGGCTTGAGCGCGCTCACAAAATAAGTGCCCGCGCTAAATTAGTGCCCGTGCTCCAGCAAGTTTGTGGGTGTTTCTCAATCGCGAGTACGCTTGCTTGGTAGCACATGTCTGCCGAGCATCTTGCTTCAGAAGCGAGTCAAGAATACTTCCTGACATTCGGAAAACAAAGAGTGGAACACGCTAGCAAGTGTGCAGGTGTGCGTCATATGAGAGGCCCCGCCTTACATCTTCCGCCACAGATGTGGGGAAATTGGTCCGTGCGCAAAGCATTGTGGGGATTTTAAGACCGCGAAGTCTACTCATGTGCACACTCGATATTTCTCCAAACGGAGTACGCCGGGCTCGGTAGATTTCCAAGTATACTGGAGATTGGAACAGTACTTCGGCGGCACTCGATGACGTAGTATGCTTGAAATAGTGGCTCTGAAGCAGCTTTACTCGCGATTGAGAAACACCCACTGTGGGCTTACGAGAGGCAGAGCACGTGCCTGCCTCACTTGTCATCGCTCCCGTAGCGGAGCTCGGCAAATTTGCTGATTTTGACTATAAAAAGCGATTAGAATCATACATAAATCACACTTACAACACAGATCAGTGGAGACATTTTATTATTATTACTATTTCGTTTTTCTTTAGTTGTTTTTCCGTTACATTGGAGTATGACAGGTGAGGCTCTGCCTCCCCTTCCTCCACTGACTGCACGTCGCTGGTCTGTACAGATCAACAAAACATGAATGATAGTTTAAAAACATAATAAAATGACACCATAGACCACAATAATAATGTGATAGTGTGTACAAATTAAGGATCCAGGGGGATGTCAAAATGCTTCCTGCATGGTTTTCATGAACTGCAACACTAACATGTTATTTAAAATCCAAAGTAACAAGCAATGAAACAAATATATGCACATTTTAAACATGTGAAAACACCCTCTCTCTCCATCAGCCTCATGTCTTGAGTTCAGGGTGTGCAGCCAATTAAGCTGATGGGTGTCTGATTGGACGCAGGTGTGCTGCTCTGATGAGGATAATGATCGGCTAGAGTTTAAAAAGCTCCACCGCTCACACTGAACCATACTGTGAGTCAGTCAGGAAGACAGAGAGCAGCCGACCAGTTTCCTGTCATCAGTTTCACTTATGGAGGCCTTTCATTTTCAGGTTATCCTCCTTGTAGGACTCTGTGTAAGCTCCTCTTTTGCTTTCCCGCCCACACACGATGCTTCATTCCAGAGCCTTGCGAACACAGGCAGGTCAGAACTCGGGCAGCAGCAGCAGAAGTCTCCGGCTGAGGAACCGCAGCAGGTGAATACCATCAGAGTGACCTGTCATCCAGACTCTTTGGAGATTGTTATCAAAGCCGACATGTTTGCGGTTGGAGTTCCTGTTGATGGAGACGAGATACGCCTTGGAGTAGAGAACAACAACCAGTACTGCAGAGCTACAGCGTCTTCAGCAGATGAGTACAGTATCAGTGTTGGACTTGTGGAGTGTGGCACCAGACACTGGGTAACTTTTTAAATATATTTAATTTCAAATATGATTCATTATAGCTTCTAGTTTTAAACACGTCTACTCTCCACAGGTAACTGAGGACTCTCTGATCTACACAAACCTCCTCATATACTCTCCTGAGGCTTCTCCATATGGTGTTGTTCGAATGGAGGAGGCTGTAATTCCACTTGAATGTCATTACGAAAGGTTTTAGTTTTTAAAGCTCACATTGTAAAAATCTTTGAATGATGTCGGTCTTTTTTTAAATGCATGTTTTCTGTTTCTTAGGAAGTACAGTTTGTCCAGTTCTTCACTCATGCCTACCTGGATCCCCTTCATGTCGACCCAGGCTGCAGTGGAAATGTTGGAGTTTAACTTGAGAATCATGACAAGTGGGTTTTGGTAATTTTCTCATGTTATGAGTTGTCATGCCTCTATTTGCACTTAGTACCTTTTTCTGTCCGTGTGCAGGTGACTGGCAGTACAAAAGAAGCTCTAATGTGTTTCATCTCGGTGAGCCCATCAGCATCGAGGCCTCGGTCAGACTTGGGCATCACATGGGGCTCCGAGTGTTTGTGAGCAGCTGCGTGGCTACACTGAGCCCTGACATGCACTCTCGCCCCAGGCATGCCTTCATTGAAAATGGGTAAGGCTGCAAATTGCTAAATGGCAAAAAGGAAAGTCTTTTTCTGACCCTAGAGGGAGCTGTTTAATGTGTAAGGCTCTTCAAGTGGTTTAATTCAGACGCAAGCAATGCTGACTCGAGTGACCGGTTAATAAAAGATCAGTCCTTTAGTGGCGTCTTCAAGTTAGCCATTAGCTAAGGCTATCTGCAGTTTGCTTTTAATCTTTGGTATTCTAGTTCTTCCTTTCTGTACCACTATTGGCAAATGCACAGGTCAGATTTGTGCAGTTCTGACCCTAAATAACTACTTCCAGAACTTGCCTATATGACTAGAAATGTTAGTGGTGCATTGTGGGTAATGTAGACTCTGGTTATAGTAGTCAATGAGTGCTTATTTAGTGTTGCTCTTTTTGTTTTTCCTCATAGGTGCTTTGTTGACTCTCAGCTTCCAGGCTCAAGGTCTCAATTCTTAGCCAGGACACAGGATGACAAGCTCCACATGTCCATTGATGCCTTCAGATTTTATAATGAGGACAGAGGGGAGGTGAGGCTCTATTCAATTGCCTTAAACATGATTGTGTGTGCATGTTTCCCAACACCTGCTTTTCTCATAGCTCTACATCACATGTCACCTGAATGCTGTGGCAATAAATAACGCAGATGCACCAAACAAGGCGTGCACTTTTGTGAATGGAAGGTAAGTGAGATCCTAAAATATTTCAAATTACACACAAAAAACAAACTATTGGTGCTGAATGTTTTTTTTTTTATTCATCAGATGGAGGTCCGCTGATGGTAATGACTACTTATGTGGGCAATGCAAAAGACCAATTGGAGTTGAGCAAACTCCCAGTAAGCCCAGCAGCCCGAGCAAGTTTAGGCCTCGAGGGTTTGTGAAGCCAGAAGAGCGTGAACCCCTCTGGAGGAGCGGACTGAAGACCAGTCCAGGTGGGGAGCTTGTAGAAACTTGTATGATGAATATTGGCTGCAGATGTCGTCATAATGATCAATTGTTTGTGACTCATGTTTTTGCATAGGTTTTAGACATGATGATGGCTGGGTAACTGAATTAACATGCATTGTGCTGGTTTGTGTTAGTGTGGGAACATCAGGCCAGAGTGGGTCCGATGATGGTCTTGCCAACCAAGCAGAAAAGCCGGCCCATACCTGCAGAGGAGCGTTCTTCCATTCTTGATCAAATCGGCAGATCTACAATGTAGGGCAGCCAGTGGAGGAGTGGAATAAACGGAGTTGGTAAGTCA